TCTCATTTTTTTTTTTTTTTTTTTTTTTTTTTTTTTTTTTTTTTTTTTTTTTAAATAAACTGACATTCATATACAGTGGATAATTATGTAGCATTAACATCCTGTAGAATACCATAGTAAGAGCATATACCCATTGACCAAAACACTAAATATTGAGCAGAACTACATCCCTGTTTAGTCCAGTAATCGCATTTGGGCAAGGGTAGGGCAGTTTATGTACACCTGCTGATGTGCTGATCAAAACATAATCTGAAGTACTGTATGTTATATTCTGTTACTCAAAGAAGTATAAGCTTTTTGTATTCTATATATATTTTTTCTATAAACATGCCACAAGATGAAAGCTTGAAGAAAGTGCAATCCAACAGTATTTCTATTGTTGCAATGTATGATGACGGTGGTGGTGGTGGTGGTGAAGGTATTGCTGTTGCAAGAGGTTGACATTTGCCACAAAAATGCACTCTTTAGTGGCGCTGGTATGATGTGGCCTCCAATGTTTGTGTGAACTGCCAGAGGTCCGGAAGTATCCTGCCTCCATTACTTGAACTGTGGCATTGCTTGAGCTATGAATGTTTTTTTTCCATGACATGCAGCCTACATAGCTTAAGAGGAAAGGAATCCATGTTGAACTTGGCACATTTTTCAAGTTTGAGAACAATAGACGCTCTGTACAGAGACACAATAAAAAAAAAAATGTATTTCTAAAGGTTGCTTTATGGAAGTAGGTTGTTTAAGCCTCTTAAAATAATCAAACTTCACTGGGGGACTGAGGAAATTCCTCAGGTGACGCTAAGCAATGTGAGATCCTGACCTTTTTCTTGCTGAAAGACAATAAACTGATGATGGTTTTGTCAACTAATTCAAGTCTGTTGCTAACACTGTTCAAGAAAGACTTTTTAAAAATTATTATTATTCACATTAATCATAAAAAGGTTGAAGGCAGCTTTGTTATTTTAAGTGCTGTTAAAGTTCCAGTGACCAAAAATTATGCTTAACACTTACTTACGTTGGGTTTACCGTCTTTACTAAAGCCATGGTAGTCCAATGAGCTTATCTTTGAGTTTGCAGAGGTGGGAGACAGCTAGGGCACTGGAGGACACGCTGCAGACAGATGGGAGAGAAAGGAAGCGATAAAGACAATAGCAGGATGTGCGCAGGCTCTTCCGTACTCAGCCTGACTGCCGTTGAGTCACTTCAAAAAAATTTTTAGGAACATGCTTTGCATGGCTCTCACTTGCATTTTCAAATTTTTGATCCTTCTGTAAAGGAAAAAGAAAAGCAAATTAACATTTGGTACTTGAGAGCAGCTTGGGTTTTTTTCCCTTCTAGGTTTATCACACAGTCGGCATCACCCCTGTCTGACAATTACACTGAATTTGCTAATTTTACCAGTGCAAAATCCTCAGAAAAACACATGTATTGCCACTGGGGTGTATGATGATAACGTTGACCCTGGATGACACCACCACTGGCCACCTGTGTGACCACAGCAACAGGTGGCCTCTTTCAACCATCACAGAAGGTCTGTGTTAGGTAAGGATTAATGAGGTGCAGAGGGCAGGGATGTACTGGGGGAGAGTTCCAGGCCACGGATTACTACCTCTTACCTGTGTCAGCATGGAGAGTGGGTGGACAGGCAGCATGCAAGCCTGGCTAGGACTCACCAGACGCAGTGTAGCTAGATAGATAGCACCACAGCCCTCGAATGGTAAGAGTCACATCATGTCTCATTCACTCCAATTGATTTTTTTTTTTCACCAATTGCAGATCATGGAGCCTCGCAACCATTCCTGAAATTTAGCAACATACCTGTGGCATAGAGATATAGCAGCACAGAAGTTTGAATTGCATTTTCAAAATTTAAGTTGTTTAAAAAACAAGACTGTATGCAACAGAACATATTCGTGGATTATTCACCAACAAATTGGTAGATTTTGGATAGGTTAACTGATGTTAGATTAAATCACCAAACTCATATTAGCAACCAAGAACAATTGTTGAGTAATTGCAAATGACTTTATCTTAATGTTATTTCATCCAGCATTATGAAATCAAGCTCCAAAACTTGACTTTTGCAGGGTTGGTCAAGTGAAATATTACCTAAATATAACAATTCAATTATTTTTTTTTTTATATAGTGCCAAATCATAACGGCAGTCACCTCAAGGCGCTTTCAACAAATGTATTCACGGTGGGAATTACCTAATGTTATAAAAATAACAACTGCATAACATAAATGAGAAACTATTCTAAATGCCTAAATAAATGCATTTGATTGTATTATCTATGTTATCATATTAATCCTGTATTGTGGAATTAGTATATATTGATTGCACAAATTCAAGTGACACCTGTCACCTTTTAACATCAGCAGCTAATTAAGCTCCAATAACTTGAGCTGGGTAATAAAAACTACACCTCATCTGCTGATGCATTTACCTAAATAAAGATTTAGCCTAAAGACTGGGCTTTTAAATCTTTCCCCGCTTCTTACTTTTTGTCATAACCCGAACATTAGGCTTTGCAGTGCTCTGGTCTTTGTTTGTAGCGCTGCCTCTCTATATTCACATATATTCCAAGTGGCCGCTAAGCACTTCCGTAGTCTTACTATTCGAGGGCTCTGGATAGGACAGAGTGTACCAATGAGTCACCCTCAGGCGGCTGCTTGAGTGTCCCAAAGACAGGGAGAGGGTGGGAAGAAAAATATGTGGGGCAGGAAGGAGAGCGGAGAAAGTGCAGGGCCTATTTCTCTCCCTCCTGGTTATTAAAATGAAGGCTTGAAAGGTCAAGCTGGGCCTTTTCTACATTTTCTTTGCACATAAAGTACACTGCCACATGGCTATGACCCCCAAACTATTAGCTTTTATAGCAGTTTGGCTATCACTGCTAACATCTACTTTCGCCTGGCTTCCAGCTATAAGAGTTGAACGTATGTAAAAACCCAGCCCCCCTACATATTTTTCCTCAGAGGCCCTCTCCCTCCACTTTTTTTTCTTGTCAGCACACCTCAGTGCTACAACTCGCTTACTAGTTCTCAATTTAAATAAGTCCCGACTGGAGTAGAGGGGGGGGGGTAGCAGAACGAATTACCTTTGGAGTCACGCCTAAAACACACACACCATCAACTGTCTTGGAGGCTTTCAGAAAAAAGAGGTTTTTGCTTTCAGTTTGCAGCAGCCAATCGCGTCTCTCCTCTCCTCTGTCTCCGTCCGATTCCACGGTTTCACGCTACGCGATCAGCCAATGGCAGTCCGAGACCATGCCGCAGGTTAGCCAATCAGCAGTCAGTTGCTATGTTGGAAGCAGAATCGATAAGAGGGATTTTTTCCCCCTCTCTGTTTTTTTTTTTACAAGCTCACAATATAGCTGGCTTATAGGCTGAAGGCAGGAGATCCTGTTGCCTGCCAACAAGCATGTAGGCAACAGACTGAACCATTAAACACCACACAGACACATTTCCTTTGATACCGCCACAAATAACAGCTTAGATGTCACTATGCTGTGTATGTGTCTGTACACACACATATATCTCAGGAAGAAAGTTAACAGGTTGGATTCCCGACCCCCACTGAGCTGTTGAAGTCATGGAAAAGAAAATTGTTTGAGCCTGGGCGAATTATGGTCAATGATGCACATCAAAGTTTCTGAGTGAAAATGATGTTGTGAGTTTGTCCCCTTTTTTGTTTCCCCCCTCTTTCAGTACTTTTTCCCCCAGTGTCTCGGTCCGTCTAAGGAGAAAAACGCCCCATATTGTTACTATACTTAAAGCAAATCCAAATGTATGCAATGCTATACTTGGTGCTGTACATATTCATCACAATATTAAGGTCAGTAATTTCTGGATTATATTGTTAAGCCATATGTTCTCCCAGTGACCCAGAACGGTCGAGATTTCTTGCTGTGGGCTACTGGTATGTGTCCTCAAGCAAAATGTAAACAAAAATCAAACTAACCTACTCAGTTTGGAAAAAGATGCAGTTATTGTATAAGTTAACCTGTATTTGAAGGTGACTTTTAGAAACTGAAATCAAACTTTAATGATTGGATGTGCTCAGTTGGAAATAGCATAAGTCCTGGATACAAGTTGATCTAAAGTAACGAGTTATTATTGGCATATATTTTGCTATAACTGAGTGACCTCTGGTAGCTTTGATTTGAACAAAGAGACTCGGATCGCACTGAAACAGGAGGGGACACTGATCCAGCTCAGACACAGGGATGAGACACAATCAGACACAATGCAGTTTGTTGACAAACCATCAAGATCCAGAACCACAGCCAAATCAGATTTTCAGATACCGCCTTAGACCAGGGATGGGCGATCCCTCCAGTTTTAAAACAGGTAGAGCAGGACGCCCTCAGCGACAGTTGGGGTGATTTTCCTTCCTCTTACTTCATGCAATATTATGTTGTGCTATTTCTTAAGGGAACGTGGGGGTGGGGGAATCACCTATTAAATGAAGCATCCCATCGTTTCTAAAGCTGGACAATCTCATTGTGGTACTTCAGCTCTCAAATAGATTAAAAAAGAAGAAAACAAGAAGCAGCAGCAAGGCACGTGGCCAGAAAACTAAAGTGGCACAAGACTGACAGACACTGCTTGGTCTGAAAACATAAGGCTGATGATGATGATGATGGTGGTGGTAAAGGAACGAAGGAGTTACACACAAAGACTGCAGCAAGAAGGAAAGTTCACTATTAAGTATCTGCTACAAGTTAGAAGAATATCACACAGATACTCCCATCATCATAGGGAAATCCCTTGTTTTGTGTTATCGGGTAAGCTTTTAATCTGAAGCCCTTTACTCCTATATGAAGCTTTAATCTGTCAGTTTCATTTCATAATGTTTTTCTTTCTTGGTAAAGGAAAAAAAAGGATTGAGCCCCTGATGGGAAAAAAAAGTCAGACACACTGCACTTAAAGTGGAATGGCAATTATGGTGAGCACTTTCCATAGGATGACCCTCACACTATTTACTTTGTCTCCCACGACATGGGGAAATTCTGGGTACAGTCACCGCAGCGGAGAGACAGGATGACCAGAGAAAACAATGATGACAAGCAAAAAACTCTGGTTTTTTAGAGGAGCGGGGGGAAAAGGGGGGACTTAAAAAGAAGAGCATTTTCACTCACTGTAAGAGTTTTCAACCAGAGGAAGTATGTCATCATATTCAAGTTCATTTTAGTACCTCACCTTAAACCTTAAAACCTGTTTTACAAGAGACACCTCCCCAGGCAGCAGGATGGAGAACAAAAGGCACACTTTCATGTGACAAATACACCTCTGTCACACACACGCACACACACACACACACACACACAATTCATTTTCATGATTATTATTTTATATAAGAGTCTAAACTTCAGTCTGGATTTTCTACGAATGTCTGATGGGCATGTTGAGTGTGCAGGGAGCATGTATGTAACATGTACCATCTGTGTTGGAGGCTGCTGTCACACGTCAATGAAACGCTAATGAGGCTCTTGAATTGCAAAGTAGCACAGATCACCTCACGACTGCTAAAAATGAAATAATGTGACTAACACACCAAGTGGAAAGTGACAGAGGGAGAAAGAGCTCACTGAAGGATGACAAAGAGCCCTATCTGATAAATGGAACACTATATGATCAGTATTTGACTGGCATAAATATGTTACACAGTAAAAGAAAAATAACAATAATAATAATCGGGCAAGGAAAATGACCTTTAATGACAATTAAGTATTTCAACACCGGACAAAGAACTTTTAAAGAGCCACTTTAAGTTAGGATATACAAATCCCTCACAGGTCATAGCACGATAAAGAGACTTGAGGAGAGAATTAAAGTTACATGGAGCTGTTTGTTTTCTAAGCTTCTTCAGTTTCAGGTTTTAGCTTTGTCTTACTGGTTTACTCAGAGCCAGTTTAAGTTGTGTCTAATAAGCTAATTGTTCAGCTAAGGTAATGGTTACTGTGGAGGCCCTATAGGGAACCCTGACCTACTGGAAATTTAACAGCGCAGGGCAACGGGAGGGAGTTCCAGCAAGCCGAGGGTGGATCTCAAAAGCTGGCTAGGCTGGCACTTTAGACTTTTTAATTGGCTGCAGCCACGACATACTCTCTTGTGCATCACAGGGTGTTGAAAGAGCTGGAAATACTAGTTGAGTGATGGGTGTTAGGAGACTTGTATTTCAGGTGTGTAAGCCCAGTGATCGTTACAGTTTTTTTTTTTCGCTTTTTAAACTGTAGTTCAGATGCACTTTTTTTCAGCAGACACGGTTAAAGGGCCCAGAGTCCCAGAGTGTATGTACTAACAGGTTTCCAACATAATGCTTAAACTAATCTGATCCCAAGATAAAGTAAACTGGACAGCCCAGTGAGTCTGAGAGTGGGCTCAAACGAAAGAGCTTAAAGCCTAAAAAATAACACTGTACCGGGGGACAAATATGTGGGAATACTGTGATAATTTACGTTAGGTTGCTATGGCCTATTGTCAAGGACATGCCGCTCCTTCAAAGCCAACACTGCCACCTGGCGGTGAGTGATAATACAAACCTGACCTGAATTTGGGGCAAACTGGTAATAACGTTTAAATTAATTATTATAATTAGACAAAAATAACAGAGAAAAATATTTGTGTAATTTAAATTGACTCAAAGATAAAAACTTGTCGGTATCGGTGGTGCAAATTAAAAGAAATTAATTTTTTCCCCTCTCGTGGATCAATTAGTTACGTCTGGAGATTCAGACCAATGCAGTCGGTCCACGAAAAACGTATTGACAGCCTGCAGGCTGACGGAAGTTGCCTGCATCCTCATCAGCAAACTTAAGGGTGAGTTGCCAGTAAATGCAAGATAAACGCTGCATTTTTTATTTTTTATTTTTTGTACTTCCGTCAGTAATTCTCCGTCTGGAAAGGGACTGGTCGAGTATTGGTACTGTCGTGCAGACTATGATCACTGACAAGCACCCTAGCGAGCTGCCAGACGGCTAACATGCCCGGCAGGTGTGTGTGTTACAGATCATATAACAGCAGTGGGATGAGAGGCGACTATTTTTTTAATGCTTCGTTATGTTTTCCTGTGGAACAACAAAGAAGGGGAGGTTTACTCTTATTTGTCTTTCATCGGTAGCCGATAAATCAGAAGTTGCTGGTTACACAACAATGCACTGAGCCTCTGTGTTTTGGTTTTGTGTGCTGTGCTTTCAGGCCCGAGCCTCACAGGAGAGGAGGATTGAGGATACTGGCCTCCATGGTAAAGCAGAGGTACCTTCGCTGCCATGTCCTCCATCTCTGTGTCGACGTCCAGTGGATGCAGCCGTAATGCTGGTGCAGCTGCCATGGCAACCCAGGGTTTAGAGCAAGCTGTGCTGGCTTCAGATCGCTACGCCAGACTCATCCTGGCCCAGATGAACAAGATGCGCCTCCGCTCCGACTTCTGTGACGTGGGGCTTAAAGTCGGCGGCCGTGTCTTCAAGGTGCACCGGCTAGTGCTTGCTGCCAGCAGCCCCTACTTCTCTGCCTTGTTCGCTGGTGGGATGAGGGAGGCAGACAAAGAGGAAGTGCAGATCCTTGGAGTGGACACTGATGTCTTTGAAATCTTGCTGGAGTTCATATACACAGGTCTGCATCAGCCCTGATATCCCCGTCTTGAACCTTCTTGAATATTTGTGTTGTTTTGTAGCATTCCCAATCTCTCAGATATGCTTTCCCTTCAAGACAGCAGTGATACCTGTTAAATGCAAATTAACTAATTAAGGCTGTTAGCAGATATTTGAGAGTGCGTTTGGAGACCAGGAAAATCTCATTCGTGTGTATCTTCTCTCTGGTCTTGACTAACGCACCCGCCTCCTTTCCAACATCAATCCCTCTTCAGCAGCTGATTCAGAATCCAGCAGCTAGGCTTCACACTGCATCATAACAATCCTGATTTCTGTCCATTGACAGACTTTACCGATCACATGTAAAGCACACATATGGGTATGACCCTGAGTTACAAAGCAGAAATGTTGATCCTTTGCAAGAAAGTTTGCAGCGTTAGATCTACAGATAGCTGTACAAAGTCATGGCTTAAATGTAAAGGTGATTGTATTTCTGCTAACAGGTACTTTTGGGTTTTTTATGTTTTTAATGTCAGTTTTTGCTCTTTTATTATATTACATTTTAAATTTAATTTAAATTTGCCTTCCAGTTTGGTTTTATATGTCTTTTTTACCTTCCTTCTGCTTTTACCCATCTGTCAGGGCTCTTTAATAACTCTTTTTTTTTTTTTACAGTGATATGTAAATGTAAGCACTTATTTGCTCAGTCTCTTTTTTCTTAGTTGGAAATGTGCTCTCTTTCTGTTTAGGAGTGATCGGCGTCACTGTGGAGAATGTTCAGGAACTGATGGTGGCAGCCGACATGCTGCAGCTGAATGAGGTGGTGTCCATCTGTGGGGAGTTTCTTAAGGGTCACATGGACCCATCCAACTGTGTGGGCATCTTTCAGTTCCTGGAGCAGATCGCCTGCATGGACATGCTGGAGTTTACTGAGAACTACATCCATGTTCACTTCCTAGAGGTACACACAAAAGACCAAGTCTGTGTTTTATTCTCTGTTAAAATCAGAGGATTTGAACTAATGAAACAGTATCATCAATTTCCATCAGCATCAACATTTATGTTACTTAAACTCTTTCTGTAGTTTCCACGTCGAACGTTCACAAATCGACCCTCTCGACCGCTTCCCCTCTAGGTGTGTGTCACCGATGAGTTCAGGGGCCTGTCAAAAGAGCAGCTGGTGAGACTTTTAAAAAGTGAGGAGCTGAGGATCGAGGATGAGTACCAGGTTTTTACAGCAGCCATGGAGTGGGTTCTCCAAGACGTGGCAAAGAGGAAAAAACATGTGGTAGAGGTGTTGGAACCAGTCCGCTTCCCCCTGCTTTCCCCACAGAGGCTGTTCAAGTACATAGAAGGTAGGAAACTTGTGACATTCTTCCTCCTGTTGCATTTTATACTTTCAATGTCGTGTGTTTAATACATTGTTTGAAAATTTGAAGTAACTCCTGAGATTCAAAGCCTTATTTTTTCATACATTTTTAGGTATTACCGACTTCAGCCTGCGGGTGGCACTGCAGACTCTGCTGAGGGAATACACTGAAGTCACAAAGTCCCCCAAAGAAAATAAGATGTACAGTCAGCTACAGCCAGCCAAGATGAGACCCAGAAGAAAAGCCAGGAAATACCTCTATGCCATAGGTTTAGTATCTTTGCTGTGTTACGTCTAAGTGGGGTGGAGTAAAGGGTCCCAAGATTTAAATTAGTCTTGCAATGCAGCAGATCTGATGGTGGAGCTTTTCTTCTCGTCTCATGACAGGAGGCTACACTCGGCTGCAGGGCGGCCGTTGGAGTGACAGCCGGGCGCTAAGCTGCGTGGAACGCTTTGACACCTTCAACCAGTACTGGACCACCGTGTCGTCACTGCATCAGGCCCGCAGCGGGCTAGGAGTCGCAGTCCTGGAAGGCATGATCTATGTGGTGGGAGGTGAGGGAGAGAGAGCTGGGAGTTTGCTCTGCTTTAAATAGAGAATTAACTTTAATGAGTAGAAATCTGACAACAAATGGTCTTTTCTTTTCCTTACTAGGGGAAAAAGACTCGATGATTTTTGACTGCACAGAGAGATACGACCCAGTTACGAAACAGTGGGCCGCCGTGGCGTCTCTGACTTTCCCTCGCTGCGGAGTCGGTGTCTGCCCCTGCCACGGAGCTCTGTATGCACTCGGTAAGGGTCCCACTAGAACTGGAACACACCACCTAGTGGTTTAAAGAAATCCTAAGAACTTAGAAGACAATAGAAAACACTGAAAGTGAAAATTTAAATGCACGAGTTCTCGCTGCAGAAGTTGAGGTTGTGCAATACCACATTGTGAAAGGACAATGAAATAGCTTAGTAAGTGTAATTAAATCATAACCGGCATCATGGGAGTATTTAGGAGAAAATGTGCCTGATTTAATTTCACTCACAAACATAATGGAGAGATGTGGCAGTCTGCAAATGCAGAGTGAGAAAAGGCTTTCTTAGAATCCGGGATGCTGCGTAAAATATAAACATAAACAACATGCAGTGATTTGTAAATCTCAGTAGAATGCAAAAAATGTATTGTACTTAAATAATGCTTCAAAAATATTTGCCCAAATAAGTGGTGAGATGACCGACAAGTGGTGACACTTTCCTCTGCACAAATTTGAAGTCGTGTTTTTCCTGTTCTTCTGCAGGTGGATGGATTGGCTCTGAAATCGGAAAAACCATGGAGCGATATGACCCGGAGGAGAACAAGTGGGAGGTCATTGGCAGCATGGCTGTTCCCCGCTATTACTTTGGCTGTTGTGAGTTCCAAGGTGTGTCCGTCCCTTTAATACATTTAAACAAAATAAACACATCTGTATAATCAGGCGTAAAAGCTTTAATCAGATTTGTCGTGCAGAAGAAAGAATGTAACGAGAAGTACTTGCACTGTTTTCGATGTCCGCATTTCTCTTTGCACGTCACCATCTGAACCCTCAGTTTTGGAGGTCAGCTCTAAACGCAGTGGTTTTTACCCAGGCTTCATTTACGTGATCGGAGGGATCAGCGACGAAGGGATGGAGCTGCGCTCAGCAGAGGTGTATGATCCCATCTCGCGTCGATGGAGCGCCCTGCCAGTCATGGCCACTCGACGGGCCTACGTGGGCGTCGCATGTCTCAATAACTACATATATGCTGTGGGCGGCTGGAACGAGGCTCTGGGTGCTTTGGAGACAGTAGAGAAGTACTGCCCAGAGGAGGTAAAGAGCCAAAATAATCGGTTTTACAAATTTTAACAGACGCTCCAACGTTCTCCTCACGTCTGCAAACGTCTGTCCGCAGGAGAAATGGGTGGAGGTCGCTGCGATGTCTACGGCACGCGCAGGTGTATC